TCTTCATTTGAATGTTTCTCAATGATGTCAGAAATTTTATACATGCTAATTCCATGTTCTTTATATATGTACAGGGGTGTGATTGTCTCAACCTTAGTCTCCATATTGAAATGCGGTCTTCTTCCATTTTTAAACTGGAGACCTCCATTGTTAGAAATATCAGAGAGGTTATAATGCAGAGAAACCCTACAAATATGAAAAATGTGATAAATCCTTATTTCACATGTGAAGTGTTATGAGACATCAGACAATGCATACTGGAGAGACAGCCTACAAATGTGCGGACACTGGCAAGACCTATAGTCAAATGGAAGATCTTAGAATGCTTAAAAGAATTCATACTGGAGAGAAAACTACAAATGAGAAGAATGTTAACAATCTTTTAAGGAAAGTCAAGACAGAGTACATGAATGAAAACATACTGGAGAGAACTCCTACAAATGTAAAAAATATGAAAAGTCCTTTACATGGTTGTCGAGTTTTCAGTTACATCAGTGAATACATGCTGGAGAGAAACACTCCAAATATCAAGACTGTGACAAGTCCTTTAATCAAATATGCTATCATAGAGTACATCATCAAATGCCTACTGGAGAGAAACCCTACAGTTGTGAAAAATGTGACAATGCCTTTAGGCAAATATCAGCATTACTATTACATCAGCCAATTCATATTGGGGAGAAAACTTATAAATATAAGGAATGTAATAAATCCTTTATTCACATGTCAAGTCTTAGGAGCCATCAAGCTGTGCATATTCAGGAGACACCCTACAAATGTGAAGGGTGTGACAAATCATTTACGAAAATATCAAGACTTGGATTGCTTTGGAGAATACATATTTGAGAGAACCCCTACAAATATGAAGAATGTGACAGGGACTATGCTTCTATGTCAAATTCCAAATCACATCAGCAATTTCATACTGGAGAGAACCTTACAAATGTGAAGAATGTGACAAGTCCTTTACTGACAGCTCAACACTTAGGGAACATTACAGAATTCATACTTGGGAAAATCCCTACAAACGTGCAGTATGTGACAAGTCCTTTAATAAAAAATCCAGTCTTAGAGCACATCAACGAATACATACTGGAGAGAAACCCTACAACGTGAAAAATGTGACAAGTTCTTTACTCGTATGTGAACATTTAGATTATATCAGCTAATGCATATGGGATAAAAACCCTAGAAATGTGAAGAATGTGGCAGGTTCTTT